ATTAATTAACACATTAAACAATAATCAAATTATGGATTTTTCTTATGTAGCTCTTTGTTAAGATGTATTTTTTCTGTCAGCTAACAATAGATTTCTTTCTTTCTAGACATCTCTCTCCCATCTCGGCCCATTTGAATAATTAATAGATTTATATATCTATTGATTCACCCTTGTTTAATAATTGTTATATTTGTCAATCAATACACCAGATTATAGATCTATTTATCTATTAATCTCTCCGCAGCAAATGATAAACAAATTTATGTACTAATTCACTCCCTTAATAATACCCCTCCCTCACCACAAAACATATCTATTTATCCATTAATACCCCTCCCTTACCACAAAATACATCTGCCTCCCTAACCTCAAAATACATCTATTTATCCATCATTACCTTTCAGAAACGTGCCCACAGTCTTGGACACTTCACAACGGCAAGTGTTACTACGCTAGCAACTTCGAGGTGACCTGGAGCGTTGCAAGGGAAAAGTGCAAGGAATTCAACACCGAAGCGGATCTTGTTAGCATTCATTCGGAGGCTGAGAGCGATTTCTTTGGAGGTTTGTTTTTGTTTGGTTTGTTAGAATGATGGTGGCGATGATGGTGATGACAACCATAACGATAGGGATATTACAGTCACCATCTTCAGCATTACCATGACTATTACCAACACCAACGTCCCTTATCACTCACCCACACCGCTTTCCTTCTCCTTCCTCCCCCTCCTCCATATTCCACGCCCTTCCCCCAACTTACCTCCTCCCCTTTCCCTTCCCATCACCCACACCCCCTCCCCCTCCTTCCTCCCACGCTCTCTTCCCCATTCCTTTCCTCCCACTCCCTCTCCTCCACCACCCACACTCTCTCCCTCCTCCCCTTCCTCCCACCCTCTTCCCCCCCCACTCCCCTTCCCATCACCCGCACCCCTTCCCCCACAACCCCATCCTCCCCCTTCCCATCATCCTCCACCCTCTTCCCCCCTCCCCACTCCCCTTCCCATCACCCCGCACCCCTTCCCCCCCCATCCTCCCCCTTCTCATCACCCCGCACCCCCTTCCTCCCACTCCCCTCCTGACACCTTCTCCTCCACCCAACAGACGTCCTCACCCACAGCAGCCTGGGCACGTGGATCGGGTACACATACGACAGCGACTCCGGCCAGTGGGTGTGGAGCGACGGGCAGCCCTCCAACTACTCCAACTGGAACGACGGGGAGCCCAACAACCTGGAGGACGAAGCCTGCACGGAGATCATCGACGCGGTGGGCTGGGACACGCACGCCAAGTGGAACAATATGCCGTGTTCCTCCAGCAGGGCCTTTGGCTGCGAGTTCTTCCCCCTAGTGAGGTTTATTTAATTTTATTTATTTATTATTTTTGAATCTATGTTTTTGTTTTGTTCGTTTGGGTATTTGAGTTAGTAGTTAGTTTTGTTTTTGTTGTTTTTTTCTTGTTTTGGGGGGTAGGGAGGGGGATGGGAAAGAGAGGAAGGGAAGGAAGAGAAGGAGGAGAAGGAAAAGAAGAAGGAAGAGAAGGAGGAGAAGGAAGAGAAGGAGGAGAAGGAAGAGAAGGCGGAGAAGGAAGAAAAGGAGAAGGAGAAGAGAAGAGGAGAAGGAGAAGAGAGAGAAGGAAAAGAGGGAGAAGATGAAGAAGATGGAGAGGGAGATGAGGAAGAAGATGAAGAGGAAGAAAAAGAAGGTGAAGGAGAAAGAGAAAGAGACGGAGAGAGAGAGAGAGTAAGAGTGAGAGTAAGAGTGAGAGTGAGAGTAAGAGTAAGAGTGAGTGAGAGTAAGAGTGAGAGAGAGAGAGAGAGAGAGAGAGAGAGAGAGAGAGAGAGAGAGAGAGAGAGAGAGAGAGAGAGGGAGAGAGAGAGAGAGAGAGAGAGAGAAAGAAAGAAAGAGAGGTCGATGAGAAAATGAGATCTAAAATACTGAATCAACACCACCTTCACTGCCGCCGTTAGCATCAAAGAAGCTGACCTCACTGTCGACTTCTCACTCTGGGCTCTTAGAAAACGTAGATGAGTCCAAAGAAACCGCAGATGTGCGGAGGAAGTGGCATTTCCCCTTGCAAACATCTTTCATCAAAGTTTCAAAGAAAATAGCCTTAAGCGTGGAACAAAAGCAATGTTATTCCCGTCCAGAAGGAAGTAAATAGGAAATTAATCTCCTAGTTGCATTGCTTTCACTTATAAGTAAAGCTTTTGAAAGAATCATTGCAGAGAGAACAATTAAATAGAAATTATCTTTTATGTCCTAGATAATTTGGCTTCTGTAAAAATCTGCAGACCACCTTCTCATGTCTCTTCCTGGGATGAAGAATTACTTGTGGCACTGAACGCTGAGGGAGCCTTCGATCGGGTGTGGCACATAGCCCTGTTGGTAAAACTCCGCGCCCTCGGTGTGGAGGAGTAGCTGCTGACACTCCTTCGAGATTACCTCCACGGCAGATACTAAAGTGTTGCCCTGAGCGACAAGAAATCTACCCCAAAAGGAATCATGGCAGGTGTGCCACAAGGTAGCGTCCTAGGACCTCTCCTCTGGAATGTCTGCATCAGCGACCTTCATGTTATCCCACAGGCGAAAGATTTTACAGACATCACCCTTTTGGACAGTTATGATAAGGAGGACGAAGCAACAGCTGTGTCCAGGATGAATGGACGCCTGAACGACATTGTGAGGAGCAATCGCACCTCACAAGTCCCAGTTAAGTCTAGTTAGCAAGACACAAGCACATGCCCACCTCACCTGCGATTCTCATCTGATGAGAACTATAGATGAGATTGCAATGACAGAGAGAGAGAGAGAGAGAGAGAGAGAGAGAGAGGAGGGGGAGGATAAAATTTCGAATAAAAGTAAATGCAAAACAACCAATCAAACCATCTAATAAAAAATGTAAACACACACACAATACCCTACACGAACACCCACCACCTCAACCCACATGCCACACCCAACCCACAACCCATTTCTAACCTAAACTCCCCTTTTTCACCCCAACAGCGCACACGGTCGGTTGTGAAGAAGGCTGGCAGACCTTCGGCGACTATTGCTACTGGTATTCCAACACTGACTATTCGTACTACACTCTCACGTTCAGCGAAGCGAGAGACGACTGCAAGAGTAAAGGGGCAGACATGGTGTCCATTCATTCACAAGAAGAGAATGAGTTTGTTTACTCTCTCGTTGCGGATGGATGTGAGTATTTTTTGTGAATGAAATTGTGGATTTCTTGCGTTGTCAGTGGAGATGCTATTATTATCATTATTATTACTACTGCTATTATTATTATAATTTGTAGCAGTAGTAGCAGTAGTGGTAGTAGTCTCATCATCACTATTATTATTATTATTATCATTGCCGTTATTGTTATTATTATTATTATTATCATTGTCGTTATTGTTATAATTAATATTATTATTATTATTATTATTATTATTGTTATTGTTGTATTTATTACTATGATGATTAATATAATTCGTAATAGTAGTAGTAGCAGCACCAATAGCACCAGCAGCAGCAGTAGTAGTAATAGTATCATTATTAGTATCATTATTGTTATTACAGTTACTATTTCCATCCTCATCCTCATCATCTGCATTATTGTTGTTACAATTATTTCCTATCCATCCCAGCCTATTACATGAACATGTGACTAAGCCTATGTTATGAGGTGCAACTTCCGCTCATATTCAGAGACACCTTAAACGGACCGCCGGACCGGCCTCTCACGCCCGTCAGCCAATCACCGTTGGCCTCTCACGCCCGTCAGCCAATCACCGTTGGCCTCTCACGCCCGTCAGCCAATCATCGTTGGCCTCTTGCGCCCGTCAGCCAGACATCGTTGGCTCCGGCTCGCGAAAGCCCGACGTGATTGGCTGGCGGGCGCGAGAGGCCGGTTCGGCTCTCTGATTAGGGTCTCCGAATTGTCTCTGAATATGAGCAAACCTTCACACTTCTTTAAACTCTTTTCTTATTATCTTTGTACATATAACGGCAAAAAACATTCCTGTTTTAGCGGGCTACTACTATAGTACGTGGCTAGGCCTATCCGACGAGGGACATCCTAGTGAGCTTACGTGGGTAGACAACACCGCCGTTACTTTCACCAGCTACGAGCAAATGGACTATTATCGTGAGTGATTTTTAATTCTTAACGTTATTGTTTAGTTTATGAATCTTAATCAAGTCAATTTCAGTTTTCCGTATTATTTTTTGCTGTTCTTTTTATTTTAATTATATATATATACATATCTATCTATCTATCTATCTATCTATCTATCTGTTTATCTATATATATATATTTCTTTTCCTTTTTTCATGTTTAAATTATTTTTAGATAATGAATTTTAATTTCATTCAGTTATTTACTTTATCTGTATGTTCTTTTATTACAAATTATCATCGTGTTGGCATCGTTGGATAGCAGTTCAGAATGGGACTTTTTTATATATTGCTTTACTTAGAACGGGATATAGGCCTATTTTTGTTTTCTTTTCTGTGTTCTACTCACAACTTAAAACGTTTTAAGCAGGGGAAGTTCTTGCCTGAAATCTCAAGCGTTTTTCTTGCTAACTCAAGCATTTCGCTTGCTTTCTCAAGCGACCTCCGTCGATGGCTTGACGCGCTTGCTAAGTCAAGCGGTGTACCGTCACCATGGCAACAGCGTCGTTCGCGTACCGTACTTGTCACGATCCTTCGAATGCGGGCGTTGGCCAGGAACTCTGCTTAATATCTTATCAGATAAATAATTCTTTCACGGTATTTGATTCTGTAATTTTCTTAAAATCATATTCAAAGAAATTGAAATTAACCGAAAACGAAAGGAAATAATGGAGATTATGGGAATAAAAAGTTTTACTTATGAATGATAAATGATTAGAAGACGAACAATTTTCCTCTTATTGTTAAACTTCTCGTCTGTCTAAATCGAGAATATATCTGCTATTTTCTGAAATAAAGAATATTTTTAGTGAAAAAGTCTGAGAAATTCTAGCAACATTCTTCTGTTGATATTATATTCGATGATTTGTTATATTATCCTCATAAAATCGGGTATATGGGGATGGATAGGCCTATATTTTAATTCATGGATATTCATTTGTTTTGATAACGCGTCAGAATGAAAAGGCTGTCAATCGGAAGTGTATGTCATTGTTTTAGAGGCACTTTATATGAATATAGGAGAAAATATAGCACTTTGTTAAGATGTTTGGGTAGATTTATTTACTTCTCTGCCATCTTAATGCGGCGCTAGCTTGTAAGTTGTTTTGAATTGCGCGCTCAAACTGTTACCAACCGCAGGTGGAATAAACTCCACCCTCGACTTGTGCATAAGTTATCTCTTTCCGAGATTGTTGGTGGGAATATTGCTTTTAAAACCCAAGTATGTATATTTCGTGTGTTATTTTGATATTTCTATGCTCATCAAGGACTGTTATGATTTGTACTTTATAAAAAGACATTTCCACATGTCTGGCATCACTGAAGATGGCCTGCCTGCCTTGGAAAGCGTTTTAAGCAGGGGACGGTACAGCGCTTGACAAGAATTCTTGCCAAGCGCTCCCCTGCTTAATTAAAACGCTTTTTACACTATACTTACATCTCTGGCTGTTTTCTGTATATATACGTATGTATGAATACCTCGTTTAATCTCTCTTTCTCACTCTTCCTTTCCCCTTCCTACGTCTTCCTCTCCCTCTCTCCTTTCCTCCTCCCCTCCATCTCTCGCTCTTTTTCACTTTCCTCCATCTCTCTCCCTCTCTCCCTCTCTCACTTCTCCTCCCTCCATGTTTCCATCTCTCCCCTCTCATCCCCCCTTCTCCCCTCTCCCTCCTCCCCTCATCTCTCTCCCCTTCTCACCTCTCCTCCCTCCTTCTCCCCCTCTCCCCTCCATCTCTTTCCCCCTGTTCCCCTCTTCCCTTCTCACCTCTTCTCCCTCCTTTTCCCCCTTTTCCCTTCTCACCTCTCCTCCGTTCTTTTCCCCTCTCCCCTTTTCACCTCTGCTCCCTCCTTCTCCCCCTCTCCTTCCCTCCCCTCCATCTCTTTCCCCCTGTTCCCCTGTTCCCCTCTCACATCTCCTCCCCCCTTTTCTCCCTCGCAGCCATCTACTCGACGCCCGCTTGCGGAATCATCGACTTTGCGGCTTACACAGCGCAGTCGTGGGGCGTCGAAGATTGTTCTGATTACAATTTCTACGTGTGTAAGAAGCCACAGGAATCGACGCCCATTAACCCGCCTTCTAATGGGTGCAAAGATGTGAGATTTTTTTTATGTTGTTTGGGTGAATTTTCGGGGGGTTTGTTTGTTTGTGTGTGTGTGTTTGTATTTGATTGTTTGTGTGTTTTTTGGTGTGTATGTGTATGTGCATGCGTGTGTTGTTTGTTTGTGTGTATTTTCTTGTGTTGTGTTTGTGTGTGTGATTATACATGTGTGTGTGTGTGTGTGTGTGTGTTTATGTGTGTTTTTATATATTTTTTTTCAGTGTAAGGGCTGGGTGGAGGTAGGTAAAAAAGGAATTATAAAAGGAGAGAGAAAGGGGGTGTACACATACGCACAGTGTATCTGGTGATCCATATTTGGGTATGCTACAGTCATAGGGAAGAAATGAAAATAATAAACTGTACTCTAAAGTCCTGTCCAGACCAAGATACATTGAATCGAAACAGTTGAGCAGCAATGCATCTGTGCTGACCCGATGCAGTTGCTCAGAAACTCGGCAGCATTCCAAATTTGTTGCTCCACAGTTCAGCAAATGTTGCGAAACACGATCGACATTCTCGAGAATCACTGGCGCCAATTTGTATCTGTGGCGACGGTTGCTGAACAGTTTGCACACAGTCGTGGTCCAGACCAAACTGCGCTTAGTCTCCCTACACACTGGGAGTGGAATTTAACATCTCGATTAGTACAAGCGTCTTTTTGTTGTTCAAATATTGACCCTGGAATAAATGCTACTTGCCAAAAGTAAACAAGATAAACAATAATCTTGGGAGAAAACAAAATTTACGAAACTACAATGAAACATTTTTTCATTCCTATTATTCAGCCAGCACTTGGCTCTATTAGTCAATACATCATAATATGATATTTTTTTTCTAATTTGTCAGGCTTTTTCCTCTTTCCTGTTAGTGCATCGCCTACTTAATTATGTAGTGACTGCAGTATATTGCAACATCACTTGTCATTATGGTGTTTTTTCCTGTATTCGATAGCACACAGCAACCCAACAATTGAGCACGTCAGCAGGCGACTGGCCAATGGCCGACAGATGGTGATGGTGGAGTTGAGTTACCCGCAACTTTGTATCTTGTTTCCCATAACCAGTGAGGAACACAGAAACACGCAGAATTGGCCCTCGGAACTCCCGAGCAACAGCTGCGAAACAAATTTGGATTGTTGCTTAACTGGTGAACGGCTTTTCAGATATTTTGTTGCCCAACAAAATATCTTGGTCAGAACGTGGATATGAAATAAACTTGCGAGACATTTTTAGATTT